GGAATGGAAAGGAAAGGAAATGAACCCTACTAAACCGGAGACTTACAATTCCTTTTTTTATCATTTGATGAGACTTCTGGAAAAAGCATTGCATTTGGAAATAAGTTCAACATTTATATTATTTATTTATGTATYCATATTTGAGTATTGCTCACCCTAACATCAATATTTCTCTCCATTATTATTTCATAGTTATGCGAATAATCCTTCCCTTAACGCGCAATTCAAGCACGATGATCTTATCTAAATATAGGCGTATAATGTAACATGAATGGTTGGCTCACGCCATTCTTATGACGATAAACTTGTAAACTCCAGAAATTTTTTACATGTATATTTTTAGCCGTCATTTAACATTTTGAAGTCGACTGCTGTAACATACCCATCTCCAAACGTTCATGTAATAATCTGCTGTTTGATGTGTAATTATCGATGAAATAGAATGTTTATAGATCTTTACTATTCAGTGCGATTCCTAATAATTCTTACCAGCGGTGTTATCTTTACATGTGGATAGAGTGAAGGTATTCAACACGTGAAATAAAAAATACTATTCAACGTGGAACGCGTCAAATCGACACAAAAGAAACAATGGAACTAAGGTCTACTAAAGTATATTAGTCTAATATCTATTTGTATAGGTAATCATACGGTTTCGAGTTCAATTTCTTCGTTTCTGTTTTTGCTTTACTTCGGCAAAGAATCGCTCGAGTATTTCCTTTAGATCGGCTGGCTCATTTACCTCAATTCAGGTCATACTTCGTTTCCTTTTCACTATTTCTTCCATATATTCAGCCATAACGATGTAATTTTTACTCACTTGTGTGTTTTTTTTTTTTTGTTTTTTTGTTTTGAACTGTTTTTTTTAGTTGTTTGATAGTAACATCCGTAAAATCTTTCCCTTGATTTGCTTCAAATTTTCCTCTAATTTTTCTTCACAATAACCTTTCATGGCTAAAATAATTTTCTATTGCTTATTATCCAATCAAAAGCGAGAATTCCATTTGTAATTTGCACTGTGTTACACTTTCTGTACTGTATTACACTTCTCTGCACTTGAATTTTACATTTTTGCACTGTATTATGCTTGAACAACAATGCTTTAAGCCAAATAGAATCATAGGTAGAATTGAGTAATGTTTTCATGTATGTTATTACACGAGTTAAATACCGCTTCACTTTTTATCATGCAGTACGTTGATATATGCCGAAGATAAATCAATTTTTCATTTATTTTTGTTTTTTGTTTGTTTTTTCGTTTTTTGTTTTGCTTTGTTGAGAGAAATATAGAGGATATTTCATGGAGGATTTTATATTAAATATAATTTTGTCAATGGTCTATCAGTGGCAATATCTTGAGCAGGGAAATAAGATTTTGATAATTTTCCGAAAGGATTTCAAGAACTGTTCGTCTTTATAGCTGAAGATTATTGGATTCATGGCCGAGTTTAGATAGCCAAAGACAAGCAGAATCTGAGAGGTTTTGTAATTAGCCTGGTTGAAGCACTCTGTACAGAAGTTCAAGATGACACTGTGTGTGGTAAATGGAATCCAGCATAAAAGAAAAGCGCCCACAATTACTGCAATCGTGCGAGCAGCTTTCTTGTTCTTAACGAAGATTTTTCGTTTTTTGGTTAATTCTTTATCCAAATCTTTATCGGAAGAACATAGATTGTTCTCTGACGCAGCACACGAGCTACGGTGTCCCTCTTGAACGAAGCCTTCATCCAATTTTGATTCGCATTTTGAGTGTGATGAACATGGAATAATGAGCTCTGAGATGTTATTGGATGCTTCAGAAACACATTCATCCAATGAGCGAACAGTTATTTGGTTTGATTCACGCCTATTTGTGCCAGACGTCGAAGGTGCTATCATATTAACAGCAAGTACTGGCGCTCTAATATCTACGAATTGTTTATTTGTAGAAGCTGTTCCTCGTATGACACCATCATTTATAATGGGGAAATCAAAGCTCCGATCAGGCGTTGCATTGCGTAGTTTGGAGTTAGTTTGACCTCTTGTAAAATGATCGTTATCTCCTCCCACATCACACAGAAAGTTAGTACTTGTGTTCTGGTGAAGTGACGAACATCTGAGCTTACCATCGTTCGTTTGTGTTAGTTTGCTTTGATTTTCTTGTTCTTCTCTCCAGTTGACCATGCTCTTGTTATTTTTGTCAAGCTTTTTCGCATCCCTTTCCTCATGTTTCTTCCACGAATAATAACCGCTGTCTGCACAAGTATTTTCCATTCCTTCAGTAGTTCCATCATTGATTGTTGCGATGCCCTTTTTGTCTTTATGATTCCCCTCTAACCCTTGGTTATCTACAATTTGAGTATTGCCTACAGCCAAAACTAAACTGGTCTTGCTAGAGGTTTTAGAGTCATTTTGATGTCCCTCTTCTAGGCCATGTACAAAACCTCGTGAAGGTATCTCCCGCTCTACGGCAGATATGTTTGGTTTCGTCTTGAGGCCAGTGGGAATGACGTATTGTGTTTGAGCAATCATATAAATTTTGTAATAAATATAACACATTGCAAACATTGGAAAATAAAAGCTTAAGAATGAGACAACATTTGCGTAGATTGGGCTGATGTTGAAAATACAATAGCCATACATGAGCGGGTTTTCAACGTACTTGACTCCCATGATTGGGATCAAAGCCAGGGCTAAACAGAAAACCCACAACAACATGATCACAACTATTGCTCTCTTAGGGGTCAACAGTGGTGAATCTCTAAATCGATCCCATGGATTTTTAAGCATCTTATACCGAGAAATGCTCAGTACGAAGAGAGTCCAAATCGATGTAGGTACAGTTATCAAATAGGCTGTAGTCCAAATTGAGCACAAAGCTTCACTGTGGCGCCATTTTCCATACGTTATGAACGTCTCCAGGTCAAACGGCATAGAAAAACAGGCAGTTGAAATGTCTGTAAGAGCCAGAGAAACTACAAAATAGACCGATACGTTTTTACKAAGGTTTGGGTTGATAACGACTGCTATACAGACCAAAATGTTCCCAAGAATAGCAGCAATGATGATCAAGGAATAAAGAACTATCATCGTCAAGGTGTAGGCATTGGAATACCACAGTGCTAGCTGAAATGGCTTCTGCAAATTCGTGCTGTTTGATGTTGAATTGTAAGACCTATCCATTGCAATTATGTTCTTGTCTTTTTAGGTAAATTGAAAGAAGGATTTTGAGCACCTCATGGAAGAAATGTGGCTTTTGAGAGTTACTTCAGAGAGGCACTTGCTTTTGTACAGACAGCGACGAGACAGCTGCGTTTGAATCGATCGACATAAATGAAGTTATGGTGGCATATTTGTATCGATATTGACACCGAATAGTCACTCAATACATCTAATTAAACCGATTAAATGGATAAAACGACCTCAGAGAATTTCGTTTCAAGTTTCAAGGTATTATGTACCGTAATTCAAACAAAGATAACAAATTTTTATTTTACTTTATATTATTATTTTTATTGCTGTAATTGCACACGCATTTTAATCCAGTTGCTGAGATCAACTATCTTACATTCGTTATATTCAAAAGGATTTTAGTTCAACGATATTAGATTTCATTACTCTTATTATCTGCCGGTTGTTTCAAGACAGCGTCAGCTTGTCTGGCAAAATTCTAATTTTTATATTTTCATGTGGCTTCAAAGAAATGAATTAAAAAATTTTAATCGCTATGCTTGGTTATAAAGTGAGTATTAAAGAGGTTTTGCAGGATAAGTTAGGAATCAAACACTTATATATATAATGTCGAATAGAAATACATATTTTACCTAAACTTGATCAGTAACTTTTGGGTTTTATAATGGATCATCGCTTTAAAATTGAAATCCTAATTGGTAAAATCGACCTTTGAATATCCACATAATGAGAATTTTAACGCTCTGATGGAAGCCGCTTATAACATGAAAATTAAACGTCCATAAGGGTACATCTTTAGATAATAGATTGACCCGCGGCACATTAAAATAATTTTCTTCTTAGGGCCTTTTCCGATTTACTTTTGTAAAGAAAATACCTCTCACCGAGAGATATATGCTTGCATTTCAAATTTTATTCCCAAGGTCGCCTCTGATTTTTACATAGTCTTTTCGTAGGCGTCTTTTTTGGAATTTTTCCTCGACTCTCCCAGTTTTCACTCAAAATTTTTCCCCGGAATATTTTCTCTGGATAACAATCTTATTTTATGCCGTGTTTCTATCTACCCCTGAAGCTAGCTGTTGCTTTCTGTTGAGACATGTTCAGATCATTTCAATTCATATATCATTCAGCAAGTCAAGATCTAGATTCTTCTCAGGAATTCTTTTCGGCTCGGACCTTTCTTATGGATTTCAAGTCCATTGTACATCCCAAAAGTTTCCCCCTCTCTTAACAAGACATTGGTCATGCTGGTATTTTAAAATTTCTTCATAACGTCACTTCTTGATTTCAAAATTTCATCTCATCCTTAGTTTTAACCATTTTTCTATTCGTAAATTTCAACTTTTACAAGGACCTTCCAATAGCTTTTCAAGTTTTTTTTGAAGCCACTCCCTTGAATATTCTGAAATATTGTCTCTTATTCCTATATGTTAGTTTTCAAGCTATTTTTTCCATCCCAAAACCTTTTTCTGCCCTGAAGCGACGTTATGGCACCAGTTTGACGCTCATTGTCAGTGCACTTTCACAAAACCGATATGAAATAATTATCAAAATAATGATGTTGGCCTTCATCAATCTCCGGTCCGAATATACCGAGCAAATTATATATGACAATCATTCAAACTAAATTGCTTCCCAAATGTTCAGCTTTCTGCGTGCAAATGTTACTTTTGATTTAAAACTATATATTGGATTTTGGGTGGATTTAGAGTACCCTTTTAGAGTTTGCTACGCGTGCTATCGTGTGTGGCCATCCAAATAGAGTGGTTTTACTCGGTCTATAATTAGTGATAGTACTTAAAGTAAAACATATTAAGAAAAATACAGGTTGTAATATCTACGTACCATAGGGCATATAAAATTACGTGTGAGTTTTGTGCATGTATATACTGTATGCTAACAAACGTACCACTTGTTTTGACGGACACAAACATTCCTTGTTTGTTGAAGTAACAACCATAGCATTAACAAAAGACACAAAAGGAAATAAATGAACGAATAAATGATTTATGTATTGAATAAATTGAATAAAAATTGAGAAAATATCTGTTTGAAGCCGTCGAGAAAAAGTAGATATCGTTAGACGTCAATCTGAAGGTGTTTCTATCACACCTCACAGTTCGCATGAAAATGGAAATGACTAAGGTTTTCCTGCAGTCGATCTTGCTATTTTCTTTACTATTTGTTTTTGTGACCATACAAATGATTGGTATATATTGTAAACATTTCTCCCCGGATATTTGAAGAGGAAATTTTGTTGAAACTTGGTGTGGCTGCAATATATGCTGGTTCATCATTTTTAGCCACTACAAACAAGTTGATATAAATAATGCATTGTGTTGTATCTGATATTGCTTGTTGTAATACACAATTTAATGGGAGTTTTTTAGAAGCCCTTTACTAAATAAATTTGATTTCAAACAAGTCAAGTCAGTGTTGTATTGTTCTTTCATATCTTCAAGTACTTATTTGGTGTTTTTTTTTTTTCTTAAAACAAATTAGCCGGTCGTAGAAAAGCAATACATCGTAGTTGAAGGAAAGGCAGAAAGAAAAGATTTAATAGATGAAAACGAAAAAAACCTAGCGGTAAAGGGAGTGAGTTAACGACTACATCCCTATATTCGTAGTTCCCCTATATCGACGTCTGACAGATCGATATGGAAGATGATTAATTAAAATGTCCACGAAGACTAGAAGTTATCATTTCCATGCCCCAATGATATAGATGCTAKCGCATAATGATAATACTGTCACATCGAGAAGCGTCTTTCTGTCAACCACGATTTATTTYCAAATATGGACACTTGTACTTGGCTGACTTGATAGTCTAGTACGAATTGTTGTCTTTGTTGTCGAGTAAACCTAAAGAATCGTACCTACGTACTTGTAATCCCTGGACAAGCAGTGTCTTCATAACGACTATCGTTCCAGTGTGGCATTTGATTTACCAGACAATGAACCACGACAAAAACTAACGAGCGAACACACGAAGGCGTAACAGTGCTTCGAAAACGTTGCAAAAAGACTAGCCTTTTTTGGCGCCAATGAAGTTGAATTTCCAGCTAAATTCTTTAATACATCCCAGTATTTTATAAACCGAGTGTTCATTGGTTATTTCGTGATTGACAAAGAAAAAGATTGAGTTTTCAAATTTAATACTCCGCGAACGCGATGGCCGAATGGGAAATATCCGCGCGGTTATCATGTTCTGGAAACATGTTTCCTCGTTTAGCCAGGGCCGTAGTAAATGATGAATAACTTTATTTTTACATAGGCAGCCTAGTCTAAAATTGCGTCGCGTGTCTCCGTATTTTCCTGTGTCAGGAAATGCCAAAATTGCGCAATAGTACCAGAGTTCTTTACGGCACTACCCAAGAGTCTTTTGCAGACATATGGTAACAGAGATGGCGTATAAAATCTACTGGTTTATACTTAAGTGACGTTTGCCAATCAATGTCTAATTTATTAAAGTGATTGGATTGGGGTGGGGCAGCTTATCACGTGTCGGAAATAGATCTTTAATTTTCGTTAGTTGCTGAAATTCAAGGCTCAGTGCAGGATTCTAGGAAATAATCGGGCGTATAAACTGGCTAAGAAAGTTTAAGACGCTGTGAAAAGATATTTCTTTTATTTGTCTACTCAAAATTTTAATCTAGTTTCTTAAAGCAGTATTCTAATATAAAGGACGAGTTGTAGAAACTTCACTACAATTTAGAAAAAGCTCTAGTCTATTGATGTAGGAATTTTGAAGATAACATTTGAAGCCGTTTTGGAAAACGGTGAAAATATGATTTTAGAAAAACTCCCATATTTGAGGTTTACACGACCATTAGTGAAAAAATTCTTTATTCAATGAGTTTTCGAGATTTGATGCTAATTTTTCGTAAAGCTCATCCGCAATACTTGAGAATAGATATGTGAAAACTTCAAGGCAATCCATTTAATGGTGATAAAGAAAAATCGTACCTGAGAATGTGGAGAAAAAAGCCTAAAACTAAAAATATTATGGATTGATTTTCGGTCGTAATAGGCTAAGCACTTAAAAAATCTTTAAGAAAATACACTGTAATCAAAGCACATCATATGAAAAATCCAGTTTCATTGACGCACTAGTTTTCCAAAGCGAGCGAGAATATGATTTTTCAACATTCTCTCTGAATTATTATAGTTTGCATCCACCTTATTCACTATATTTACTTGCCAGATTTTTACTTGAAATTTGATAATGCTAGCGCTATAAATATCATAGAAAGCATAAAAATTTTTTGTTAGACTTTTAAGTTTGGTTTGCATTATATAGTATGGATTGAGCTGGATTTTTAAAAATAAATGGAACTGCCGGCCATTAAGAGTTTTGAAAATGTTGAACGGTTGCTGGTCATTTAGATACTCATATACAGTCAATTCAAAAAATGTTGTCGTCGACCCTCTCAAGCCTACACGACTGGACTGAAAGGAACTCTGGGTAGTAATCATTGAAGCCGAGTTGACTCCATAATTTTATCTGACTAGTTATGCCTGCATGGTTTACAGCACGAACCTTCGTAGGCGAGCGGGAAGTGTTGAAGGAGACGTTTTTTTAATGCCTTAATATTTTCGAAATTGTGAACTACTTTGTTTTCTATCCCTAAACCCAAAGACATGCATTTGATGGATTGTTTCTCGCCATTATTATCTTATTACTAGAGGTAACAATCAATTCAGAACGAATATTTAACCGCTTCAGTGATTTTTACCCATATTCCTTTTTGACTGTATAAAAAACAAAATGGCCGGCAGTTTCATTTTTTTCAGTGATTTTCCTTTGCTAGATTTCAATTTGATGACTTTGGGTAGACAGGAATAGGTTACTCAAAATATTCTATATTCTATTATTTTAAAAGTCAAAAAAGCTTGAGTAGGTACAATGTTTAGGTCACCCATCCAAGTACTAACCCTCCTCAGAAGAGCTTGACTCAGTATATCGAACGACAACGATTTATCCACTGGACCACGGTTCCAG